GCCGTCCTCCGACCGCAGCGGATGGAAACGAACATGAACGTTCGTCAGCGCGACACAGGTTTGGACAAGCATGTCGTAATTTTTACGATTCCAGCGGTAGGTGTCGCTGCACACGGCCCAAAGTGTCTTGAGGCGGCCAAAAGGTTTTCGACGATTGCACGGTCAGATGCAATGCGGTCATTTTCGTGGAGCTGCTCAGAGGTAAGACTTCCGTGTGCCGGCTGTTTGCTTGGAATGATGCCGCGAACTTGGTGCTGAATTCCTTGGTAGCCCTTATCGACCAGCGCAGCCCAATGCGCGATGGCGTCCTCCTCTTGCCCTGCGTCCGCCATGCTTGACTCGCTACCCTTTTTGGCCAAATTGATAGGGTGGAACTCGACGTTGCCGTCAAAAATCGCCTTGTCCGACACACTGCCCTTTGCGAAGGCAGAGCAATCGATAGCCAAGCCGTTCGGGAGCACGGACATCTCGACCTTGTGGCCGTACAAATGATGCTTCCCACTAAAGAATAGCTTCTTCTTGGCGTACGATCCACAGGGTATGTTGGTCTGCTGGAACGTGACGTCTGTAGCATACCTTGCATGAGGAAAGTTGTAATTTGGAAAGTGTGATTTCAAATGTCGCCAGTAATATGGAACAGAGGTAGTATATCAATAGAATTCAAGAGCAGAATCAGAATGAATTCTAAATGATCTTTGGTAAATAAACAACTAATCTAGGTTTTTCCCAAAAGCAAACCTAATTCATGTGCTATATAAGGAGAATATGTAACAAAACAAGAACACTTTCTATCTTTTTCGCAACAGATGTAATTGAGGACATTCCCAAAGTACGTTTCACGTACTTTGGGAATGTCCTCAATTACATCCCATCGTGAGATGACACCTCAGTATCACTAGCGCCATCATTATCAGACAACGCGCTCTCGGAGGCCAGAGCAAGAGCCAGGCGAGCTTTACGCTTTGAAAGGTAAACACGATCAGAATTGCGCTTACCCTTCATCGATCTCGCTCTAATCGAATTCATGCGATTTACGTACTGAGCATAGACATCGCCGTCCTCCGACCGCAGCGGATGGAAACGAACATGAACGTTCGTCAGCGCGACACAGGTTTGGACAAGCATGTCGTAATTTTTACGATTCCAGCTGTAGGTGTCGCTGCACACGTCCCAAAGTGTCTTGAGGTGGCCAAAAAAGTTTTCGACGATTGCACGGTCAGATGCAATGCGGTATTTTCGTGGCTGCTCAGAGGTAAGACTTCCGTGTGCCGGCTTCTTGCTTGGAATGATGCCGCGAACTTGGTGCTGAATTCCTTGGTAGCCCTTCTCGACCAGCGCAGCCCATTGCGCGATGGCCTTCTCCTCTTGCCCTGCGTCCGCCATGCTTGACTCGCTACCCTTTTTGGCCAAGGTGATACGGTGGAACTCGACGTTGCCGTCAAAAATCGCCTTGTCCGACACACTGCCTTTTGCGAAGGAAGAGCAATCGATAGCCAAGCCGTTCAGGAGCACGAACATCTCGACTTTGTGGCCGTACAAATGATGCTTCCCACTAAAGAAAAGCTGCTTCTCGGCGTACGATCCAGAGGGTATGTTGGTCTGCTGGAACGTGACGTCCGTAGCATACCTTGCATGAGGAAAGTTCACAAAACGTTGGTTCATAGACGCAAGACGAGTCACCGTCCACGTTTTGGCGGCCGCTTCGACGAACTTCCGGTACAAGAATGCATCAAGCACATCCAAGTACGTCATGACCCGCTTTTCGAACGTAACTGTCTGTTGAAACACAGCCGCAACGATGTCCCAAGTGCCGCAATGCTTCAGCGACGTCAAGACAATGAAAAGCATGTCGCGCGCCGAGACGTCTGACTTGCGACCAGAGCCAACATTCCAGTGACGTGCAATATGATTTCGGACCTCAGCCCACAGCAACGTAAACTCGGAGGGACTGAAATTGGTGAGTATATGGATCCCATCAGGGCCTTGACTATCCAAGTGTGCATCGTAGATTGGGCTCGTGGACTCATCTTGATCGCCGTCGTCGTCATGGCGTGCAGTTGAATAGCGTGCCCGTTTTTCTTGGCGTTGGTTCTGCATTTTTCAAGCAAAGCCACACCTTGGCTCCTTGCACGAGTTGTCAAACCAGTGCCATCGCCATCCTGAACGCTCTGTCTACGTGCCATTTGGCTGTAGTTGGCTGCTCTTGTCTGCGATGAAGTGTTTTTGGAAGTGACTCAATGACTTCTTATTGTGTGAACTTGCTAATAATTCACCTCAGCCACACGAGTTGCGTGGCTGTCGTTTGACGAGCTCTATGCTTGAGAATTGTATTGGGAATTACTTGGCCAGTGTCTCATTGGCTATTGATGTTGGTACTTTGTATGAACCTTCTACATTCTAGTATATGTATATGCACTTATTGTAAACATTATCAATTTTCAGGTGGTCTAATCAACTTGAACTAAGCCGCGTAATTTACGTTAATAAATTCAATTTTGTGACGCCTCCATGCATTAGACCTCAGGTTTTAAGACTCGATGTTTTGGCAGAGGTGACGTTGATATGTGATGGGTGAATTGTTCCACGAAAACATAAATTCTTTACCATTATGAGCACCAAACGCAGAATTGTGCACCACCTTACGAAGTGATGCACAATTAGAGGCAGACAGTACCTATACTCCAATAGCGATTCAAGTAATTCCAAACGTCTATATTCATGATAGACCTAAACAACCTAGTTGAATACTATATAAGGAACCCTTAACAAAAGGAGTCTTGAAAATTATCAAAAGTGATCAAACAATGTACATTTAAGAAGAGCAAAAACCCAGCACCATTTGATAAAACCTACCATGAATTACACACTTTAAGTACCATATCCTAATTAGAAGAGTTGGGATGGGCCACCATCACTCTCGCTGTCAGA